GGAGCCTATTCTTGTATTAATTCCAAGAGGAAATAATCAAAGAAAGAAAAGGAGGATAGGAGAAACCTAGATTGGGAAGAGTATGATTTTACAGTGATGGTTTACAAGTGATTCAACAGATTATTTCCAAAAGGGAATATTTCTGTGGGTTAGTTACTATATTGAGTATAACTGGCAACCACACTGATAACCATTTTTTCCTGAATGAAGAAAAGATGAAGAAGAATAAGAGGAAAACAAAGTTAAAAGAAAATGGTACCATGATACACCGAGAAACCCACCATGAATCTTCATCATACTCTTAAAAATTAGTGGATAAGTGAACTTTGTACCTGAAAAATGAAGGTTTAAGGAGGTATTTGCACCTTTTTTTTCCTCTAAACTATAGGGGAGGCCTTTGTTAGGGTCAAAACACAAAGGTGGTTTATAGAATTGTTATATGAAGACTTTTTTTTTATAATTTCACCTAAAAATAATAATAAACCAATAAAAATTAATAAAAGAATTCTTTTTTCAAAAAAATTGATAAAAAGTTAACATTAAGATATAAAAATAGTACACATTTATCTAAAGAATAGAAAATTGGCCACTCTTGCTAAAGCACAACTTAGATTGTGATTAGATAAACTAGACATATCCCTACAAAATAATATTTCAACTTAGATTGTGATACCATCTAATTGGAAATGTCATAGAGCTCCATCCTCAATTTTGCTTATAAATAATGTTATGTGCATCGTAGACTTGTTCGATTTGAGATACCTTTGAAGCACTAAAGTGAATGGTCCGATGCGAGGACCATTCTCACTATCTCTTTTCATTTTTTTTTTTGGTATAAATTTCATTGTTGTTATAAGTGTTTTCAACTAGTCATTGACCCAGCTGGTCAAATTATTCGAATTGTCATTGGCCAAGATTCCAAGTCCTGTTCCATTAAAGACCCACCAATGGATGCACACTCAATTAAGAATTGTTTGATCTAGCTGGTTTGACCGTTCACCTATTTGACTCGATGACCAGGTCATAGGTTGCACACTCAATGCATGCAAACTTTCGGAGGCCATAACTTTGTACTCTAATATCCAATTGAGGTTATTTCTGTTTTTATTTTTGGTAACTTTTTGATATCTATGTGTCCCAAATCCCGTATGCACTTTCCCCCGCTATTTTCGCGAAAAAACCTTTTTGGCCTCAAATTTCAATTTTAAATATTTTTTATAAATAAAAAAATTGAAAACATAAATTAAATACAAAAAATACATGTGACATATTTATATATTATTTATTAGTAATATATCTATATCTATATATTTTACCCGGACGATCGACCCGGAGGCAAAAATGGTTCGACCTCCGGATTGGTTTTTAAAACATCGACTTTTGGTTTGGTTCCTTGAATGATTTAATAATTTTGTTGCTAAAAGATGTAAATCGGATTTTAAAATTGTTCGGCCTCCAAAAAGATTTAAGAATTTTATTTACTATTAATTAATATTATATTAATAATCAAAATTTGTTTCCAATTAACTAAAAGTATTCAAAGTTATTGTTAATTTCTAAAATTTTAATATTTATAATTTTCATTTAATGTTGATTCATAGAAAATAATTACTGTTAATTTAATATGAATAAATATTTTTTAATAAATTTAGTTTTATTAATAAATTGTAGTAACTTTAATAATTGTTATGCTTTTTATTATTTTTAAATGAAATTTTGATTAACTTTAAATAAATAAACATAACTAAAAAAGATAATTTTTTATTAATTTCACTAATAATTAACACTTATATAGGAATGACAACGGGGTGGGTTTAGGGCGGGGCACCCCATCCCTGTCCTTGCCCCATAGTCAAGACACTCTACCCCTTCCCCGTCCTGTCTGTAGTGTCAGGCGGGTTAAGGGCAAGGGAACCACTCCTCAATGTCGGGCAAGTTACCCCACTCCTCATCAAGGATGGGGAATCCTTGAATTTTCCCGCCTTGTCCTCAGTATTGGGTGGGTTCAAGTAGAGGTGTAAATTGGGCCATGTTGGGCCAACACAATACAACCCGCACAAAGTGCGTGTTGTGCCGTGCTGGCCCATGGGGTGTCCTGGGCCGTGCCTCCTTCCCTTGGGATAATTTGGGGGCTCGGTTCAGCAAGCCCATGGCCTGAGCCCGCGTGGGCACGTGCCATGCCGTGGGCCACGCTATTAGTGGTCCATTTCTAAAAAAATTGAAAAAGACGTTTAAATTTTTATTTTATATGATTTTTTATGTATATAATTGTTTATATATACTATTAGACCATTTCATGGGCCGGGTAGCCCAACGGCTTGGCCTGGCCTGACCCATTATTTTTCAAGCTTGGACAAAATTTCAAGCTCGTTGGCTTGAGCTCGAACTTTCTCAAATAAGCCTTGTCTCAGGTCCGAGCCTGTTCCGATACTATTACAAATATAAAAAAATACTTATGTTCAAGTAGGTTCAAAGTATCAACACAGGCCTATACGCCAGTATTGGCTTGTATAGTGCTTTTTTTATGTTTTATATGTTTAGTTTTCAAAATTGGTTCAGAGGGGTTGGTTTAAAGTCCCGGATACCCTTTGAACCATGGTCTGACTTGAAACAACCCCTGTAGGGTAATATTTGGGAAGCCATTAGCACGAGACGTATCGGCCAATACATGTTGATACTTTGAACCTTGCTTATATATATATGCTTGTTAATTTTTTAATAAATATCAATGTATTATTCGGAAATACAAATTAGTTTATTAATTTTTAAATTAATATTATATTAGTTCATAAAAGTATACTGAAAAAAGACATTTTGTGTATAGATCGGGCTTTGGGCTCGAGCTCGGGCTTGCACATTTTCTACTGATAAAGAGGCCTATGTTAATTATAAATCTATGATTTTTTGCAAACTAAGTTTTTATTTAAATATAACATTTCTATTTAAATATAAATTTTTTACAAATTAAAAATATATAACATTTCTATATATATTAATATAAAATTTGTTATTTAAATACTATATAATAATATTTACCATATATGCATATAACTTCCAAGTTGAGCTTATTAGGGGTTGTTTAGCATGGGCCTTATCTGCTAAAGCCATCATTGGACTCCAAAAGTTTGACACCCAATTAGACTTCGAATCTGATTATCCTTGGTAATGCGTAGGCATGGTGCATATCTTAGCTAAACCTAATTCAAAAGAAAATAGTTGCTTGAGCCTACAAATTTATAGATCTAATCGGGTTAGGTTAACTTATAAACAATTTGTTACTTTTTATTATTAATTATTAAAATATTGTTAGCTATAAAAATATTGTAATTATTAAATTACTGTATTTATTTAAAATACAATAATTTATGGAAATTATCATATTTTCATAAATATTACTAATTTCATGGCTAAAACTAATTAAATACAATTTTTGGTAATTAAATATAACTTTTTGGTAATTAAATGTAATTTTCTATTATTTATAGCTTAAATTATAATTACTATTAATTATAGTTTAAAGTAAATTATTATTTTTTCATTTTTATTTAGTATTTTTTGGACTAAAATACAACTAATTTAATTTTTTAATTATTTTTAGTATTTTAATTAAGCTTTAGGTTTTTAATTAATTTTTGGTGTTTTTTCATTATTTTTCAGTAATTTTTGCATATGAGTATTTTTCAATATTTTTCAGTATTTTCAGCATTTATTTTTGCATATTAGTCACTACAAAATTAATTTGCATTTGCTTTCAATAAAAATAAAATAAATAAATACCATAGTTAATAAAAAAATACAACTAATTTTCAAATTGTATTATTTTTAAATGTTGATTTATAGAATATAATTAGTAAATATTGTTAATATTTAAAATTTTAATAATTGTTAATATCTAGTTAGTAAATACCATAGTCAGTAAATATTGTTAATATCTAAAATTTTAATAATTGTATTTTTCATTTAATGTTGATTTTTAGAAAATAATTATTGTTAATTTAATATGAACAAATATCTTTTTATAAATTTAGTTTTATTAATAATTTGTAGTAATTTTAGTAATCGTTATTATTTTTAATTGAAATTTTGATTAACTTTAAATAAATAAAAACAATTAGAAAAGATAAGTTAATTATTGGTATTTTTTATTATTTTTTATCATTTTTAATGAGTTCATTATGAACAATAAAGGTCTCAACTCATAAGTTATCTAATAATATTATTAAAACTATYAATTAATATTTTTATATTTAAATTTCTTATTTTTATTAGCATTTACTAAGTTTGATTTTTAAGTGGTATTGAAACACATTTTTAATATTTACTAAGTTTTGTTAATATTTATTTTTAATGGATTTTTAAATTAATAATTTTTTGATTGTTTAACCTCAACCTATTTGTATTATTACTATTCTATATTTTTTTCTCTTAAATGTAAAAATAACATGAGAGGACTTGAGAAACCCAAAGGTCTCTCTCTAATAATGTGCATCTTTATTAATATAATAAAAAAATAAAAAAAAATAGATAAATAACTTCTCTTACATGTCAACATGATCAGACCAATTTTACTAGATAACCGGCCGATCGACCCGGAGGCAAACATTTGCTTTTGGTTTGTGCATTCTCACTATCTTTATTCACGTCGAGAACGTTTATAAAGAGATTTGCACTTCCAAAACGTGTCGTTACAGGACGAAGGAATCGTCGATTGGCTACTGGCGAAGATCCAGGAGGATGTGAATCGAGGGAACACCGATCGTCGCCTAAAATTATGCTGATTTAATGCACGAATTAATTAAGATTCTTCATTTCAGTCCTACTGAGTAGTGACTACTGGCCTGGGAAATGAACAGGCTACAGTGAGTGATTTCCTGGTTCACCATTAAAGCAAAGCCCTACGTTAATGTTGTTCTCCTCTTTCGAAAGCAACTTTTCTCCGTAGCATAGTTCTTCGAGTGTTCGTTCTGTAACTAGTCGATCGCACGACTTGGTAAGTGCTTATGGGGACGCCGAGAAAACACATAGAAAAGATAAGAAGGGAGAAGTTTTTCATAGGAGAAGAAAATCCGAATCCGCTGAGAGAGGATATGTACCAAGCTGTCAAATTTCTCTCCGCAGAGCTTTACGCGAAAGATGTTCATTTCCTCATGGAGTTCATCCAGGTTTTCATCTTTCTATTGAATAATTAGTTTTTTATTAATGCTAAACGTTCAAAGCTTCACTGTTAAATCCTTGGATCAGTTCACTTTATAGTGATGTGATTAATTCATGATACACTTTGGCTTAACTCATGATATTACAGAATGCAGAAGATAACGAGTACTTGGAAGGGGTGAAACCATCGCTGGAGTTGATGATAACGAGCAAGGACATCACTGCGACTGGAGCCCCTGCAACTCTTCTGTTGTTCAATAATGAGAAGGGTTTTGCTCCTAGAAATATCGAGTCCATATGCAGCGTTGGGCGCTCAACAAAGAAAGGCAATCGACAACGCGGCTACATCGGAGAGAAAGGTACCATTCCATTACTGTTCTTTCGGTTCCATTGTTTCCTCCATTTCTTTCTTCAGTTTCTTGCACTCTGCCCTGTAGCGTCATAAGAGTCCGGATCTCCTCCCAACATATACGTTCCAACACCCTTCCAACTTCGTCTTCTAGCCTAAGGTGTTTGTGTATGATATTGGAAAGGCATGATATCCAGAAAACTTGTAACCAATCAACTGGTATCATGAAGGTGCTTGTATCTAGTGTCCAATCAGTAGTTTTTATCAAATTCGTGGGAAGGCTTTACTGGTCAAAGATCTTCCGGTATCATGCATTTCCGGCAGCATAGATATTATCATTAATTACTCTCATTCTTTTTCTTCTTTCCGAGTATAAAATTTTAAAATGGGTAGAAAATGGAAGGATGAGTTTTTAAGAGACCAAATCAGCCCCCCATTGCCCCTACAACACTTTCCCACTGTGTATTGAAAATATCACCCGATGGTAATATCATCATTTCTAGTATTATCATAGGGAGATGTTCCCAATAATGGCCGGAATGTGTTGTGGGACGTTGCCAGGGGAAGGGCTGATTTGAACTCAAACTGAGATTTAACCATTTCCTTACAAATTTCACTTTTATTCTTTTTTTCATCAATTAAAATAATAATATAGTCATCCATAATACTCATAATGGTTCCCAAAAAAAAAAATACAATACTCATAATGAAAACATGCAATATCTACACCAAAACACAAATCAACCATGTGGGCTCTATATCAATAACTCAAAATATGAAAAAAAAAGATAGGGTAAATTACAAAGAACACCCGTACTATGGGGTTAGTGATAAAGGCGCCCCTAAATTTTGGCCATTAGACAAAGACCCCCCTCCGTTAGTGTTCTGTGAGTTAACTTTGAAAAAGATTTTGATTTTACTGTTAAATTTTTCTAAATACCTGAACTACCCTTTCTAATTTATTTTAGTTTTTTCTCCTTTTCTGCAATTATCTTCATCCCATTTACTTTGCTCAAACTATCCTCTTCTCTCTCTCTTTGGTTTAAAGTTTAGTGTATAGAGAAATAAAATGAAGAACACTAATAGAGAGCTTTTAAGGGGGATCCCTTTGATGGCTGTGATGGCAAGTTGAAGAACAAGTAGAAGCTCTCTAACATCTCGGTCCCATCCAAGACCAAGAGCCAACCATCCGAAACACTCGTTTCCCCTAGAAACCTCGATGCAAACACCAGTTTCCTCCTCCAAAAATTTCATGTTGTAAAATTGATTGGCGGCGTCAGCCACCCGATGATTGGCATGCCACGACTCAAGCTTTCCATCATTGAATTCCAACTGCAATGGCTTAGAAAGGCAGAGGTAGACATGTGAGATAGAATATCCACCTGGGTGCCCATTTACGCACCAATAATCCTTTGTTTTGCGCTTTTATTCGTTCTTGGAATCCCTCAGACAACCAGTCATTTGCCCTGAATTCAGAGTTTACGTCAAATCCCTTCGGAGGCCTAATGACCGATATAAATTTCCTACCACTTGCCTCCAAAGCAATAGCCAATTCCGACATTTGTGGAGCAGAGATTGTGTTTTGAGCATCGAAGCAGACGTAAAGAACAGAATCTAGAGGTTACATATCGAGCCACTCGATGCATTGATTCGGGGTGGTTTTGGCGGCTTTGTCCGTACGAGTTTTGTTGGCCAAGGAAGAGGCGGTAGGCCCAATCGCCCAAACAGGCCGATCACTCACCCTTCTGAAATATTGTAAACCAGTCTGATCGAAGTCCTCCACTGTGTTTAACAGAAGCCCGTCTAACCTCAACCACACATGACTTGTTTGTATGAATTTAGACCAAGCATCAGTCCCATTAGTGTATAGTTTGGCAGAATCTGTTTCATAGCGGGAACTTGGGAGAACCCACTTGGTAGTGGGCGACCTCAGCTGACCATCCGTTTGGTAGTGGGCGACCTTAGCTAACCATCCATTTGGTAGTGGGTGACCTCAGTTGACCGCCAGCGTTGAAGACAAAATGAATTATACGTAGGTCATTGGCGATCTCAACCAACCATCTGAAAAGCATGTCGGTTTCTCTGTCATCTTCATCTCCCTGGTCTCTTCTTCTCTCGCCCAAGAAGTTCTCCAGAATGCCAATTGGTTTTTCAACACCTCGAGGAGGTGTTGGTGCTGAGATTATGCCAACTGGTTCATCTCTCCAGATCTTATGTTTAAATAACAACCCTAATTCTGGTAAGTTTTAATAGAGAATGAGAGAATTGCTGTGGTGAACGGATCATTACTTTTGGGCCACTTAAGTTTTAAGAGAGAATGGCAAAAAAATAAAATTTAATAAAGCTTAATGGGGTATTTTTGGTAATTTAACACATTCTATTACCTGATTTAATGGCCGATGAGGCATTTATCGCAATGTAAAAGTTCAGGGGAGTCTTTGTCACTGACCCTACCCAAAAGGATAATAAAAAACAAAATTTAAAGGAAACAATAAGCACCCCATTTAAATTTAATTGTTGAATTGAGTAGGTAGTTGTCCAAATGAAAAAAAAGAGCTTGGAACTTCTAAATAAAAATGGAATTTAAAAATTGTAAAATTGAGTAGGTAGTTGGCCGTACGAGTTTTAGGGTAGGCGCCTCGCACAGGTCCTAGGTGCAGCTCATTCAAAAGGCATACGCCTGGTGTGCCTTATGCCTTAGCTCAAGCGTGCATCTTTTGAAAATTTGTCGCTTTTTCCTTTCTTTCGAGAATCCCCAATGCGGCTCGTAGAATTAGGAATGCAATATATCACATTAGCTACTTGATGCAATTAAGAAAAAAATGAGATTATGGGTTTTATATGCTTGAAAATGTTTTATATATTTGATTTCATTTTTAAATTCTCAATTGAATATGCTTTACATATAATATTTATGTATTTTAATTTTAAATAATAGGTTTTTTAAAACATTTATTTTAAAACTTAAGTTTATATTTTTATTAATATTATGTTTAATAATTTTTTATTTTTTTGAATTTTTTGCATTTTTTTGCATTTTATTTTTGATTTTTTAGCTTTTTTTTTAAATTGTGCGCCTTGCCTCAAAAAGGCATGCGCCTTGCCTTGCGCCTTGCACCTCAGTCTTAAAGTGGCCCTTGTGCTTTTAAAGTTCTCATATGAAAACATGGTTTCAAATGTTGCTAATGTTGCCTGACATATGTTGATGTCGAGGCTTACCGACATGAAAATGGATGGTAATATAAAAATTACATTATTTTGGTCGACATTTTCTATATTTCAAAAATGTTGACCAAATAGGTCCAAATAACCAAAAAAAAAGACAGTTTTTCCTATTATGTCAAATGTTGATAATGTCGACAGGATGTTGATTAATGTACATTATTCCAATAATAGTTTCTATTGAATATTTCAAATAAAATATTTATAAAAAAGAAGTAACAAAAATTAATTACTTTATAATATACAACATAAAATATTTTTCAAGTAATAAAATATTAACTAGTTTGTATTTTTTAAAATATTTATTAAAATCAGAAAATGTTTATTAAATTTTATAATAAATCATATTCTACATTTAATATAAAAAAACAGAATAAATTTATTAAATTTTATACTAAATCATAATTTATTATAAGTTTAGTATTAAAAATCATAATAAATTCATTAAGTTTTATAAGAAATCAAAATTTATCATAATCTTAATACTTAATACTACAAAAAGGAGAATCAGTTTATTAAATTTATAATRAAACATAATGTATTATAACTTTAATATTTAATAAATTAGAATAATGTATTTCTATTTACAAGTGTGAAATAAATATATTARAATTTATAATAAATCAGAATTAAAAATAATAAAAAAAATACCAGATAATCTTGTAAAAAATTCAAAATGCATAACAAATAAGATTGTAATTTACTAATATGTTTTAATGCTTCTTTTATCATTTTACAAAATATCATTGCATATTTCCACATATTTCATAATATTTCCACAATGTCTCTAATTTTTACAATATTTTCCCTCGGCATTTCTGCCATTTTTGACATATGTCCTATATTTTGGTAAGCGACATTTCCATCGACATTGACATTTTAAACCTTGCATGAAAGTAGGAGACGATGGACAGTTGATCACTAGCCATCTGTTGAAAAACATCTATGTCTGATGGTTTTGGAGATCTAGGTGGTTTATGACCCTAACAACATAGCTTCTTTGAAAAATGAAGGTGAGCAATGTGGGACATAATTCTTTGCAATGTTACAGGTTACCTCAATTTTTGTGACGTGGGCTGATTTTTTATTCTAAAACGAATGAGACCCATGGTAATGATTTTATAACAAAAGCTCTAGTTTTATTCATTCTTGCTTATTCTTGCCTAAAATGAGTAAGAATTGAATGAATGCGGCCTAGAGTAGCAAACCAAACATGGAAAATTGAAGTTGATTTTTTTATTGAAGAATATGGGCCAAAATAATTTTTAGAGGAGTCTTACTTATGTGTGAGAATACTATGGAGTGGTAATAAAAATTTATTTTTGCTTCTTTTGGCAGTGCTTCTCTAATTGTTTTTTTTTTTTTGTTCTTTTTGCATTGGAAAAGCCAAAAGTTTAGTAGAATCATTTGGTGAAAATGATAAAAAGGGCTTTTTGCTTCAAAAAACAGCTTTTAGCTTTTTCATGTTTGCAAGTAGACCTGTTCAGTGGTCATGGGCCAGGCTCGGGCTTGACTTTCGTCAAAATTTGAATGAACCTGGCCTGAAGCCTGAACCGACACAGTGGAGAGTTAGTCCCGAAGTCTGAGCCTGACACAATGGAGAGTTATGCCCGAAACCTGAACCTGACACAGTGGAAAGTTAGGCTCAAAGCCCAGCCTGTGAACAAGTCTATTTACAAGAAGTTATTTTGGACAAAAAAAGCTAGTGACTAGACAAACAATAAAAGTGTTTTTTTTTTAAAAAGTCCTTTCATTCTAAAAATGCATTTTCAAATAAGGCCTAATCATCTCATTTTATTTTACCACATGTTTTTCTTCATGGGGCTACACAACAGGGATAGCTTTCAACCCACATCCAATCCAACCTTTCCACTTTCCATCCCTAAATCATGACGGAACTGAAAAATGAAAATTCCCAAACTCTTCATGGGGGGTTGTTCTTATGGCTAACAGTATCTCTAACTGATGGTGATTTAACAAATTCCAAACTCTTCGTACCTACCAGTCGACAAACAGATAAGACTCAAAGTATTGTTATCATAAAGAGTTTCATAAGGACATTTTTAAGAGATGTATCAAGATATGTGATGATTAATTATTAATTTTGACTTTAAAATGTACAAAATGCAAAGAATAACATAATCAACCTTGAATGAGTAATGCCTATCCGAGTAATAATTTTTTTTCTTAATTTTTATGCCTTTGATAATGATATCGGAAAACTTGTTATCAATCAACTGCTATCATAAAATTAGTCACCAGTCAGTGGTTACTTGTCAAATTCATCCGGGTGTTTCTGGTATCATGTCTTTCTTTCTTTCTTTTTTTTTTCCCAAGCCTAACAAGGCAGGGTATATCATGTCTTTCTGGCCGTATCGATTTCTCCATGTTTTATAAATCTTTTAGTGTATGCAGATTTTAAAATGGAAATGCAATTTTTATGTTTACTTCTGTAATCTTTTATTCACTTAATATTTTTTTTTCAGTTAAGTAAATACTGTTTTTTCATATATTATTACTTTTCTAAGACCCTTCTTAAAATTTGTCATACTGGGATTATTTTGACTTAGGGTTTTGGAATAAAATATTGTTTAAATTGCACTTCTCAATCCGGCCCATAAACCCCTCAACCCAGGCGCAGGTGGGGTTTGATTCTAAGTATCAATCAAGAGACCTTACCAATCAGCCAATTGCAAGTTGCAAGTTGCAATCTATTGCTATATTTTAAAATTCAGTCATTCACATCAGTCTATTCTCTCTGAACCCACATTTGCTAAGACAGTGTGGTAGCCCTGTACTGAAACAAGTAAATCAAAGCCTTTGATTTGCTTACATGATCCCACCTTGACTTAGAAAAAGTGACTTCTTGTTGAGTCACTACTGTAGATCCAAAGCCATGATTTTCTCTTTTAGTCCTGTGCTACGACAGGGTTATAGCAAAATTTATTCAAGTATATCAATAACACTTTATTTTTAGTAAATGAAAAGCGAATATCTCATTCTGTATTTTCTTCTGAAAACTGCTAAGTATCATATAAATACACTTCTATTTGGTTCCTTGGTTTGACATTTGTACATATGCTTACATTTACATAACTCTAACACCATGGCGATATTAGCAAGGTACTGTGCCACCCTCTCCTCTACCTGCATTTGTAACATGCTCTAATGCCAATTTGTCATTTCTAAAAATTTTGTAAGAAGAAGACCGTAGGAGTACAAAGATCAATAAACAATTCAGCCTATTACCTTATTCCAAGGTTCCTTATTTTACTTGAAAGATACATGAAAAATCTTGGATTAAAGGCGAGCTGTCTTGTCATGCTGTACAGCTTAATTTTGACGATTTTGGATCCTGTGATGTTGAGAGATTTTGTACTTATTTTGAGCATTGCTTTGGGTGTAGAAAGTAGTAATGTTGAGAGATTTTTAGTGATGTTGAGAGATTTTGAGCGTTTCCTGTAAATACTTAAAAAAAGTATACTTGATATTTTTTTATTATTGCTGTGAAGGAAATAAAAAAACAAACACAAAAGAGAACAAACAAAAAATTATGTGGTTTAGCTATTTTGTGTTTGCATCCAAGGAAGATCCATGTGAAATTAACTATTCTAATTCAACTGTATACAACCCAAGATCCATGTGAAGTTAGCTATTTTCTGCTTTTGCCTTGATAATTTTCTAGTACATTTCACTCATTATTTTTTGAGTATATCTTTTAGTAGAAAAGTTCTGGTGAGTAATAAATAAGGGGTTCAACTGTGATATGGAAAAGATGTGATATCCGAAAAACAATAAATTAATAAACTGGAATCATAAACGTGATAACGAATAAGGTGTTATTTATCTAAATTGATGGGTGGGTTTTGATTGGTCAAAACTTTTTCCATACCATATCTTTTCCACATCATAGATTTTCCCAATAAATCAGTTAGCTTTATATTTGATACTTGTATTAGTATATATTTGCATTAACTTCGTCACCTTTGAATAATTCCATTAAATTGCTGCAATTCTCTGGCCAAGATCTCTTCAAAGGTGAGGCCCGAGGTGGGTTTGTGCCCAGCCGGACAATGAGAGGCAATTTTTTTAAATTGAAAAGAGAATGAAAATGTTAAAATAAATTAACAAAATAGACAAAATATTGAAATGAAATCATAAAATTTTATTATGAATGAATTTTGATGTACACAATTGTTTATATATATACACACACCAGGTGGCATGACACATTTTACAGCACTATTAATAACCTAGAGGGATGATACTAAAGTCTAGTCTAAATGGTTAATGCTTTAGCAATCCTTGACCTTGAAATGGGATTCTCATTCTTAGATCTTTTAAAATGTATATTATACAAAATTTTGTATTAATTCTTTTACACAGTTTTATCTTTTCTTTCATGGTATATTTCATCCCCTGGATGCTATGGACTAATATAGGTATTGGATATTCTGCAGGTATTGGGTTCAAGAGTGTCTTTCTGATAACAGCACAACCTTACATTTTCAGTAATGGGTATCAAATAAGGTTTAATGAAGAACCCAGTCCATTTTGTGGCATTGGATATATTGTTCCTGAGTGGGTCGAGACAAATCCAACCATTGCTGATATACACCAAGTATATGGTCCCTCCAATCCCCTTCCCATGACTATCATGGTCCTGCCTCTGAAGCCTGAGAAGGTAGAATCCGTGAAACATCAGCTCTCAACCATACACCCTGAAGTTCTACTATTTCTTTCAAAGATCAAGCATCTTTCTATCAGAGAAGATAATGCTGACCCTAGCCTTAATACGGTTAGTTCAGTCTCTATTTCAAGTGAGACTGATTTCATTACAAGGAAGAACATTGATGCAGAGTCATATACACTTCATCTCTCAGCAGAGGAAAATGGTGATAAACGTAATAAAGAATGCAGCTATTACATGTGGAGGCAGAAATTCCCTGTTGTGCTGGAAAATAGGATGGAAAGGAGTGAAGTTGATGATTGGGTGATTACACTAGCATTTCCACATGGGCAACGTCTTGATAGGGGGATGGTTTCCCCTGGGGTCTATGCATTTCTTCCTACTGAAATGGTTACAAATTTTCCCTTCATCATACAGGCTGATTTTATCCTAGCATCATCCAGGGAAATAATCCGCTTGGATAGCTTGTGGAACCAGGGGATTCTGGATTGTGTGCCACATGCTTTTGTTAATGCCTTCATCTCACTTGTGAAAACAACAGAATCTGCTCCAGTATCATCTCTGCCCAGTATTTTTGAGTTCCTACCATTGAACAGCTCTATGTATCCTAAGCTAAATGCTGTGAGGGAATCAATCAAAGAGAAATTGATTGAGGAGAACATCATTCCATGTGAGTCAGATATGGAACAAAAGTTCTTTTGTAAGCCCAGTGAAGTAGGTTGGCTTAAGCCTTCATTCTGGAAAATCCTGATCAAAGCAAGGATGCAGGGAGTGAATTTACAGAATTTGTTATCCCATGGCAAGTATGTTCTGCATTCTGCATTTGATAAGCGGCAATGTAGTAATATCTTGAATTTCTTGGAAGTGAAACCCATGGATGTGGAGTGGTACTCAAGGTGCATCCGGAGTTCTAATCTGGTACTCGGAGTTTCTGAGGACACCTACATGGATCTTCTCTTCTTTATTGCTGATAATTGGAATTCCATTTTCAAGAACAAAAATATGGACATACCCCTTCTGAAATATGTTGGTCACAATGGGTATGTCTCTTTGTGGAGCATAAATGAAGCATCACAGTGTTATGGTGGTAGAGCATTTTTATCAAAAGATCCTCGTTATGCCTCATGGTTAATTGATTGGAACCAAGAGTTCAAATGTCCAGGAGATTGGTTCTTTGTTCCCAAAAGCACTCAGGAGGCTTTACGTCGACATCGAAATAGGGAGACAATAATTGAATGGCTTTCACTTTATGTGTCCATTGACACCATAGATATGGAGAAGTATGCTATACATCTTATAAATTCTATCAATAATGGCAGAAGGCTTGCTATTGCTCTTGTTCATTTCTTGTATCACTCTCTCTCAGTCACACAGGCTTATCTGTCTGATCCGCAAGTTCGTCGACTGTGCAAGTTGGATAAGGTGCCCCTTGTAGATAGCTATGGGTATGTGACTACACTCAAAAGTGCAGTTCTTGTCCCTGCAAAGGGAAGTAAATGGGTCCGACTTATTGGCACAAATCCATGGAGAAGAGATGAATATATTGAATTAGCAGAAGACTACCTACATGCAAGTCATTTTGCAGGTGTTTGTACATCTGAAAATCAGCTCATGAAGTTCTTGATGACTTACGTTGGAGCTTGTGATATACCAGATCTTCGTCCTCCTAATTCTGTATTTCCTACAGTATATTCCCCTATGACTAAAGAAAACACATTTTTACTGCTTGACTGGATCCGAAGTCTGAAAAATAGGAGAATACAATTACAAGGAAAGTTTTTGAAATGCATAAAGGAAGGAAGTTGGCTGAAGATTTCTTTGGGTTGCAGTTCTGGTTACAGGCCTCCGTCACAATCATTCCTCCTCACTAAATCAGTGGCAAATCTTCTGCAGAATGGCGCTGTGCTGGTTGATATTCCTTTGGTAGATTAGGGATTCTATGGCGACAATATTAGTGAATACAAAGAAGAACTGAAAACAGTTGGGGTCATGTTGGAATATGAGGAAGCATGCCTATTCATCGGGGACCATCTTATGTCTCTGGCAGTTTCATCCAAGTTAACCAGGGCCAATGTGTTTTCAGTACTGAAATTTATAAAATTTTTGAGGGAGAAGTATACGTCTCCAGAAAAACTCATCAAGAGTCTCAAAGATGGAAAATGGCTAAGGACTTCCCACGGTAACAGGTCTCCTGTTGGATCCATTTTGTATGATTCAGAATGGAAAGCTGCCTCACAAATCAGTGATCTACCGTTCATTAACCAGGACTATTATGGAGGGGAAATCCTTAAGTTTAGAAAGGAGTTTGAGTTACTTGGTGCCATAGTTGGTTTCAACCAAAATTTCCAGCTCGTGATGGATAATTTCAGGCTCCCCTCATCCTGGAGTTGTCTTACAATTGATGCTTTCTTTTTTATACTGGAGTGCATTCGGCATTTGGTATCAACTGCAAAATTTGTTGAAGTGCTTAGATACCAAAAATGGTTGAGGACCAATACGGGCTACAGGTCACCAGGTGAATGTTTCCTGTTCAATTCTGAATGGGGTTGCCTTCTGCAGGTATTCAGTGGTTTTCCACTAATTGATGAAAAGTTCTATGGAAGTAGTATTTTCTCATACAAAAATGAGTTGAAGGTAACAGGGGTTGTGGTTGATTTCGAGCAAGCAGCTAAAGCATTTTCTCGTTGTTTTAAGCAGCAAGTATCTTCCTTCTCCCTAACAAAAGAAAATGTGCTCTCGTTTTTAGCATGTTACAAGCACCTAAAGAAAGGATATCATCACTTTCCTTCTGAGCTTAGCAAATGCATCAAGGAGGAGAAATGGGTCAGGACGCGTCTTGGCAATAGGTCACCTGCAGAGTCTATTCTGTTTTGCTCAGATTGGGATTGTATCATGCCTGTTGCATCACTTCCTTTTGTCGATGATAGTGACAATGGCTATGGTAAAGGCATCAAGGAGTTCAAGGATGAGCTGAAGGTCTTGGGAGTTGTTACTGAATTTAACGAGGGGGCAAAGTTTGTTGTTGCTGGTATTACTATACCCCAGAATCCTAGTGCTATAACTCCTACCAATGTGATTTCCTTGTTAAAATGCATTCAAAATATACAGAAAGAAATGGCCTGTGATTTGCTTCCTCAGTCATTTCTGAAAAGAATCGGTGGAAGTTGGTTGAAGACCTACATGGGTTATAAACCTCCAAATAACTGCCTTTTGTTTGATTCAAAGTGGGGTATGTTCTTACAGCGGGAAGATGGACCATTCATTGATGATGGGTTTTATGGCTCTAGCATTAGTTCCTATAAGAAAGAGCTCCATGCGATAGGAGTTACTGTAAATGTTGCAGATGGATGTGAACTGCTTGCCAGTTACCTTGGGTCCCATTCTCAGTATAGTGCTATATCTCGAATCTACAACTACTTGAGTACATTTAATTGGGAACCGAAAGATAAAGCTTCTACAAGGATTTGGATCCCAAATGGAATTGACAAGGGAGAGTGGGTAAGCCCCGAAGAATGTGTCCTTCATGATGGGGATGGTCTCTTTAGCTCGAGGTTGAATGTCTTGGAGAAACACTATAACATGGAATTATTAAGCTTCTTCTCCAAGGCATTGGAAGTTAGACAGAGGCCTTCAATTGATCATTACTGCAATCTGTGGAAGGATTGGGAAAATTCAGGACGCCATTTGAAAAATGATGAATGTTGTGCTTTCTGGCTCTATGTTTTACGTAACTGGTCTTCAAATTCAATGATGGGTAAACTTCTTAGCAACAGTTTGTCAAAATTGCCAGTGGACACAGGCACAGGTGAAATTCTGTTGGTAGGAAAGCAAGATGTCTTCATTCCTGATGATCTACAACTGAAGGATCTCTTTGAGAAGGCTTCTCTGCATCCTTTATTTGTCTGGTATCCTCAACGGGGCTTGCACTCTATTTGCCGGAGTAAGTTATTTGGAATATACGGCACTATTGGGGTTCAAACCATCTCTGGAGCTGTAAAGATGGACCAATCATTCAAACTGGAATGTGCTGAACCCCAGAAGGTAAAATCTAATGAAAAACATATTGAGAAAGGGCTATGTAGACTCATTCTTGGGTTTCTAGGTGATCCTTCACTTGAATTGGATGTAGTCAGGAGGCATCAGATTCTCAAATATCTCCTTGATGTTACTGTCTTTGAGACGGAAGAACCAATTACAGTAAGTTATACCTTACCATTGTCTTCTGGAAATGATGTCATTGTCAAAGCAAGCCGCATGATCCGTTGGGAGAGAGAGAACTTCAAGCTGTTCACCCAAAAGATGGACAGTTCATCTAGGCATAAAACCAAAATTGAATTAGCAACATATTTTTCTGAGGTGATATCTGAGGGGTTGCTTTGGGAGAAAGAAGATGAAATTGCTAGTCTCTCTGAGCTCATCAAGTTGGGTTTCTTGTTAGAGTTTGAGGAGGATGCAATCAATTTCCTTGTGAAGAGCAAAAATCTGCAAGTTTCCATGGAGGATGAAGAATTCCTTTCTTCTGCTTTCACTTCTCAGTCATCCGAGTAACCTTAAAGGTTTAGGACTTCTGTGATGCCTTTTCTTTTTATAAAGTGGATGTGGGATTTGGTGTTGCTTTAGTGGTTTGGAGTGCAACTAAAATGTTTATGCTTAAGTCTTGCACCTCTAAGTAACTGAACCTGGACTTCAGGTAAACTATTTCATTTTTAATAGAAAAGCCATTTTTCAGATCGTTGTAATTTTCTAGAATGGGATCTCAAGGAAAACACTCATTTTAAGTAGAAAGCAATCATTGATAAATGCAAGGAAAGAGAAAAAAAGCCATTTTACAAATCATTGTAATTTTCTAGAATGGGATCTGAAGGAAAACACTGATGGATAGTTGTTGCATATTGATTTGGAATTTCTTAGGTGGGAAATACAAGCAAAGAACCTATAATAGGTGCTGGGTTGACAGCAATTCTTTTGGTAAATCTGGTTATTGGATTGGATTTTACATCTCAGGTAGAGATGGCAACATTTTTAGTCATTTCTGGTTCTGGTTTGACAGCAATTCTTAGCATTTGGGGGTTTACAGCTCTCAATTTCTCTCTTGGTAGAAGGGCACTCAACTAACTCCATCAGTTAGGGAAATGGAAATCAGGAAGGTCCTCTGGGATTGGAATTCACTTGGTTAAGTTTAATGAATTCAATGGTTTTATGTTCATGTTTTGTCTTGCTCCCTGCCTAGAAAAAAGAATGCCTACTTTTATAGATTTCTTTTGCTGCTTTCTACTTCTTTGTTAGCACCATTACTATATTGACTTCAAACTCAATCTTCTATTTTCTCATTTTAGAAACATGATAATACAAATACTCTTATATATAATATCTTATTTTTCAATTAGCAATTATTCAAGATAGTGTAGGTACCTTTCCATTTGTCCTTGCTCAGTAATGAGTACCTTGGTTCAAAAAACACCCCAGCTTTCACTTATAGTTCTGTTGCTGTACCAATGTAAAGTAGGATTTTTCTCATGTCACAAGTTTTGCCTTTAAATATTGTGGGTTCCTGGTTTGTTCTCCACTTATGTTTTCTAATTTATTTTAATGATTTTTAATTCACTTTGCATTTCTATTTTTTGTGTTGTTTTTCTTCAATGCATGCAAGGCTTTTAGATTCACTTAAATTTAAAATTCAGTACTGGCGTTCAGTAGCAGCCTTTTTTTATGTATTTCATATTAATACATATTTGCTTCATCTTATTGGTAAATTACTTTTATAAGTTTCTGATTTAGCAGTTGAACAGGAACAGAAGGGAGTTGGATTCTTTTTCCTCCTATAGGAAAATTACTTTTATATATAGGATTCAGTGTTTTTTTCTTTTTTTTTTTTTACTATGAATTTGAATGTTTTATATCTAAGAAGAAGAAGAATACCGTAGGGAATTGAAGTGGAACTCGCCAGAGAAGTGCATAGGAGAGACAGTACTGCAATTAGGTTGACGAATAACTTTGGCCGGAGAATGCCCATGGTGAAATCCGGATGGGGTCTCTAAACTCTGCAACGTTAGGAGTTTATCTCTCATTGTGGGACGGGCTACCCTCGTTGTGTGGTCATAAAAAAGAAATATAAAAAAAAAGGTTTGTGATACAGATTTAGGAGTTTATCTCTCATAAGACAATAAAGGTGGAGTTGGAAAGTGGGTCAGGCTAGTTAGGAATGGCAACTGGGCGAGTTAGGGTGGAGATCACATTTTCTATCCCTGATCTCGATTTTGAAATAAATCCCTGCTCTTGACCCGATGCTGTCAGGATAAAAATTGTCTTACATCCCTGATCCTCAAGGGAGATGAATTCCTTGAGATCCGAATCCCTGAAATTTTTTAATTAACAATATTTTTTGAAAACAAATTTATTAAAAATAAAGGAATATTTTATAATATAAAGAATATCATATAATAATAATATTAATAAGAATAATATATTTAAAATGAATAATATTTAATATATATAATTAATGTTGGGGTGGGGCAAGGACTTCAATCCCCATTCCCCACCCCAACCACTGTTGGGTATCCCTATTAATCCCCAAGACCCCACCTCCCTTATCCTTGTGGCACCAAAGCAATCCACATCTTTGACCCCATCAGGTTAGGGAGGTTGAGTAATCAGTATGAATGGGGAAAATTGCCATCTCTAGCTAGGCTACTTGTGGGCCAGCATAGCCTAGCACAACTCTCGCTGTATTGGGTTTGGGCTTTGAGGCCTATGGTCTAGCATGACACAACATGAAAAAGTGGGACGTGCCAGCATGGTTTGCGGCCCAAGTATGACTCCCCACAAGCATACACATTGTAAGATTTTATTTTCAATTTTATTATACTATTTTATTTTAATTTTATTTTATTATTTCATATATAAACAATTGTGTACATCAAAATTCATATGAAATAGAATTTTGAAGTTTTCTTTTCAATTTTTTTTGTTTATCTTGTTAATTTATTTTAACTTTTTTATCATTTTTTTCATATTTTCTAAAACAATCATTCGACCCACAACCCATCTCAGCATACGTGCCTATTTGGGCTCATGATGCGTGCTGTCTTGGGCTTTCCTTTGAGGGGTTCTGGACCAAGTAGCCACGGTCCCACCCTGCTACAGTGCAAATGGCCTACAAAAGTGGGTCGTGTTGGCCTGGCATGACCCACATTGAGTTTGGCTTTAGTCAGGGCAAAGCCCTTTCGAGTAGCTTTTACAACCTTGTGTTAAGAATATCTCTATACTTATGTGTTTTATTTCATGAGAAGATTTTTCAATGTAAAGTTGCAAAAGGTGATTGAAATGGTGTGGGCATGAACTTGCCCTAACAGAAGTCGATCTCTTCTATATTACACCTTTAGGTGAAGGGCTCCTCACAGAGCACACCCCACAACCCATCTCCTTGATGAATTGGATACATCTTCCCATACACACACGTATATATATTATCAAAATTATTGTATTTGCAGTGTTGCAGAATTGACTGTCCTTTGCAGGTCCAAGAGCTCCAATGTTTTGTGATAAGGATGAGAAAGCTCACCAATTTGGACTCGTCAATGGATTCCTACTGAAAGAAGTTGAGGAGTTTGGAGCAGCAGTTGCATCAATCCCTACGAGGAGATGGTCGCAAGGAAATAAATTAAATTAAATGTGAACTCCCCATACGAGTGCATTTGATTGGCCAACCAAAGTGATGGTTAGGAACCACCCACGCGTTTTATGGTTTTACTTATCATCTCCTTCTGACTAACATGAGATAAAATCAGCCCCCTACAACGTCTCACAGCACATCTCCGTCGTGTATTAGGAAAATCTTCCGATGATAATACTAGAAATGATGATATCATCATCGGGAGATGTTCCCAATACACTGTGAGGATGTGCTGTGGGATGTTGTGGGGGACTGATTTGAATTCGACTAATATGACCCATATAATTAGGAAAATCTATGATGCTAGTAAAATATGATACCAGAAAGACTTTGACCAATTACAAATCTTTATGAATTTTTATTAGAACTCACCTGATTAGTTATTATTTTTATGATGCTGGTTGATCGGTTGTAGGAATAGCATTAAATGGCTCCTTAATCTCTCTTTCACTTAGTCTAAATTATATTTATAATGGGGGACCTTACATAGTTATATGACACTTGGAGCTCAAATCTTAAATGAATTTCATAACATTAAATGCGACAAAAAGAAATTTTGGGTAAAAGACTTAAACATACCCTGAGTTTATGGTAATTGACTTAAGCATATCCTGACTTTTAGATTATGTTGGTGTGTTAAAGTCAATAAAAAAACTTTTTGCCCTCGATTAATATATGGAATCAAAATATTATTCATCATTTATTCCTCTTTGTTATATTTGTGCCTTGAATTCTTTGTGGTGACCCGCTTCATGAATCCACTCCGAATTAATTTGAGAAAAGCTTGAAGGCAAAATTTTATAATGGTTTGTGGTGGATGCGTAGTGGGGTGTAGCTCCCGTGGCAGGATGGACCTGATCCATATTCATCTTATAGGTCTGAATGGAATATGAAGAGTTATGTATTTCGTGGGTTTTCTCTCTAATAAATAGAATCTATGTCTTCTGAGAGATGAGTGAGACATTAGGTGTATTTGGGGCTTAGGGTTTTTCTATGAGGGCACAACTCTATATTTTTTCTCCATTGACAACTTCATAGTGGTTTTTTGTTCCTCTTTCGCCCATGGACATAGGCTATAAGCCGAATCACATAAATCTGTGTATTTTTGTGCTTGTTTCTCTTTATCTCTATCTTTACTTTTAGCTTGAGTGCCATTCAAATCTATTTTTATTTTCTTGAATTTTTTCGCAACACTCCTAAATATGAGAAAGAGAGAGAGAGAGAGAATGGGATCAAGAGTAGAGGAGCCAAATGCATCCTACGTAGGCCAAGGTGTTGTCCCATGCCAATTCAAAGGATATGAATAAAATAAGATAGGAACTTAGTGGTATAACATAGAGGGAAAACAACGCTGGCATATATAAAGTTAATGAAACAATCATATTGATGAATTTCCGTTTAATAAGAGTTAGCTTGGAATTCTAACACTTCTTCAGCATTTCATTCCTCCTGAGCTCACATCGTTTCATTGTCATTAGAGGAGAACAAAGAGAAAAGCACCATATAAAAGCAAACAACATGTTCAAAATCTTCAAGCTTCCACTTATAAACCAATAAAACCATGGTAAAGGCTGGTTATTTTGCTTTCTAGGCGAAATTTCAAAGTAGCACCTATAAAAATCAGTGGGTCCACAATTCATTACCAGAAATGAGGCCTTTTTACTGAAGTCATATTAGAAATCTATGAAAACTATCATTTCATATGTAAAATGTTCAGTCGACTATAAAAGATAATTCATTCAATTCAATGGGACACTATTGACAAGATTGGTAGAGGAGGAAATATGTCAGCGCTGCAGCATTTTGGTGGAGTCTCTGGTCAATGTACAAATGATCCGCTTCAATACAAGAAAAGAAAGAGGGGCAAAATAGGATT